TTGATACTCATATAGTAAATGGTAACAGCTTAATATCTGTGAATAATAGATTTCGAGCTGTTTTGAAAAATCATAATTTAGTAATCAAAGACATTAAATATTATAAAACTATATGGTCTACAATGTTGAACAACATGATACTTTTTGTTTTCTTCATCTTCATTTACTTATAATAGATACTAATAATCATATTTTATGGAAAAATAATGTTTTCTGCCAAGATTGTTTACTATTTGCAATTTTAACAATGGAAGATACAGGGATTTAACTGTAACAACTTATAAAAATGGTTCTAAGAAAATACTATGGATAAATAAATTCTAATAGAAAACATTAACAATTATTTTGATACTTCACAGAAGTAAATGTTAAAATAAATCTATAATTTGACATAAGTGGACTAGAACCACATGTAATAATACTCAATATTTTAGCTCTAAGAAAGCAGGAGCTTCAATAACAACTTTCACTTGAATATATAAAACAAAATGAATAAACTATTTCTAATAAATAGAATTTTAATAAATAAAATCTAGACCTTTATAATATTGAGAAGTTGTATATTGAAATCATTTTGTTTTATATGTTTGATTTTTTCCAAAATACCAAATATTTAAGGTTTTTATTGTAGAATATATTTGAGATATAAACATATAAATTATTATAAATTCTTAGACTTTCAAATACAAACTACTTTAGATATAAATTTAGATTTCTTAATGTATTAATACTGTTAATATAATTAAGATTTTATTAATATTTTAATTTATAAGAATAACTCCTTTCTCCTAGGCATGTCAAGGGGCTTTCTATCAATCCAAAGAGACACCATTGAGGAGGAAAATAACAGTTGCCCATCCTTCAACCACATGGACTTCTCTTTAGAATAGTACCATAAGGTAGTTGGGAAGGCCTTAAAGCACTTGCTCTCCAAGGAAGTTTCATAGGGCTTTTACTTAGTGAAATAAGGAGCCAATGCATGAGCTTTAAGTTCATACTTAGGTTATAACACTATTTGGATTAGAATGGACTAGAGAACATAAGTGATCTTTCATGAGTATATAGGCGTAATGTTACCACTTGAGCTCCACTAGATGGTGGCCATGAACTAGAAGATTGGAGTTTCTAAACTTCTAGGATTTATAGGGACCTTGAGTTTTAGATTTGTGTAAGTGATTAAATTTTTCATTCTACTTTAGTCATTTAACTACACATTTGACCACTTGGAGAAGTTTCACTTATAACTTCCATAAGTTTTATTCTTGACTTGGGGACATATTACCCTTGTAAATGGCATCTATACCATTTAACTTTTGCATTTGGTTCAAATACTCCACATGTCCAATCCCATGGCAAACACCCAAAGGTACTATTAACATATCAATTTGTTATGCTAAAACTATGTTCATTCACTTTTGTATTGTGGGTAGTCCAAAACCACTTGCACTATAGTCTCATCTCCTTGGGCTATCCATTTAGTCCTGGAAGCATGCGTTGCTATCAAGCCTACTAGCTATCCTTTGAAGGAAAGATTGATCCATATGGGGGGAATTGTCACCACCATGCAGTTTGTTAAATTAGGCCTAGATGTTCTGGCTCCACCAGCCTTGGTGCTTTTCTTGGTCAAGTTGTATCAAGTCCTCAATAGCTTCATTGGTCTCTTTGTGGATAATATGAATTATATGTTATATTTCCAGGTCTGGATCTGGATCAGAAGTAGCCTCATTATGATACAGAGCAATGAAGGTTGATTTAATTCTTCCATCTGGGACCAGCTTGTGGTGGACTGGCTGGGAGCCCAGGTGGCATAACCATACAGCAACTCAGATTTGGTAGCACTCTCGTTGGGCATCCCACTGGTACATGACAGCTTGACATAGATTAGGTTGTCCCCTATTCCACTATTCTTGGCTGGTATTTTGGTGTTAAGCAATCAAAGTTGAGGAAATGTGGCCCTTTATTCCAATTATGCCTGGTAGATTTAACATAGCCATTAATTAAAAGAGTAGCAAAAATTTTATGGCACTCTTTGGGAAATCACCAAGTATGTCTCAATAGCCTTTTTTTTTAATTTTATTTTCAATCCAATTCCTTCCATGTTTTCTCAAGTGGCAAAGTATGCCTCCTACTTTCTATCAACACTATTGCCCCTTGAGAAGAGGAAAATCAAGAGTCTTGAGATAAAAGAAAAAGAGGGAGAGGCATTACATAAAAGCTGAGATGGAAGATGATTTAAAATGCTTCTCTAACAGGGCATTAATCTTTGGGCAAAACTACAAGGTTTATAGTCACATTTTGATAAGGATATTATTGCTTGTAAAAACAAGTGGAAGCTAATTTGGAAAAGAGGATAAAACTCACAACAATAAGTTTTTTCCATGGTGTTTTTTCTTTTTTTACAGGTCTGACAAGTGTAAGACAAACCAGACATCTCCATCATCTTGTAAGCTTCAAAAGAAAGCTGTGAAAGTTACAAGTGTAAAGATGATTGTCTATTTAGAACATTTGATAGGGTGATGTAAAAATCTTTTGACACTCTTGCTAACAAGCTTTGAATAGAAATAGCTCTTTCTATGTTTGATCCAACTCTTTTTGGAAATTGTTCTTGTATGAGTTTCTTCACTTCAACATTATGCCGAGCAGCATTCTTCTCTGCTTCTGTCCACACACAAATTCCAACAGCTTTCAGTTGATCAAAACCATCTAGAGATCGTTGTAACTCGTCTCTAACAAATTAGTGTAATGAATTCTCTCTTAAATGTTATTACTGTTAGTAATTTCAAGCATTGTTATTACATCAGCATTTGGAGGAACAAAAGAAAAACTGACTTGTCACAAATTGAAAACTAGTAAGTTATGTTACTTAGCTGGTTTTGAATCCTAGAGGCCTCCTTGGACAATCCGGTGGCAGCATAGACATTAGACATAAGTACATGAGCTGATGCACTTGTGCTCTCTAGCTTGACCACGGATTGAAACGCAAGCTCTCCAACACCCACATTCTCCCACTTGACGCAAGCATCCAACACTACCATCCAGATGATCACATCAGGCTTCACAGGCATGCCCCTCACGACAGATACTGCTTCCTCGAGATGGTTTGCTTGAGCAAGAACGTCCACCAGGCAGGTATAGTGTTGGAGATTGGGAACGATGCCAAACTCTTCCCGCATGGACCGGAAGTACTCTTTGGCCTTGTCGACGAGCCCGGCATATCGGCACGCCGTGAGAACAGATAGAAAAGCGATGTGATCCGGTTGAATGCGTTCCTTCTGCATCCTCTCGAAGAGCTGGAAGACCTGCGAGGTGTTGCCTTGGAAGCTGTATCCCGCTAGCAGCGCGCTCCAAGTCACCAAGCTCTTCTTGCAAGCAGCCTCAAAGACCTCTTCCGCATCCGCCATGCTCCCACACTTCCCATAAAAGTCGATGAGAGCGTTTGCTACTGCTGGAACTGTCTCAAATCCATCTATGGATGCTCGAGCATGGAGCTCTCTTCCAGACTCCAAAGCTCCCAGGCTGCTGCAAGCCTTGAGAGCGGCAACGAAAGTCACAGCATCCGGTGAGCAGCCTTCTTCCTCCATGCCCGTCAAGAGCTCCAAAGCGATCTTCCCATCTCCGGCCTGAGCATATCCTGCGATGAGACAGTTCCATGATACCACACTTCGCTCCTGGATGCGTTCGAAGACGCTGCGAGCATCGGCCATGCTCCCACACTTCGCGTACATATCCACCAGCGTGTTGGCCACCGCAGTGTGTGAATCATCCCCGAGCGTTGCAGCCAAGTCGTGGATAGCCCGCCCTTGTCTCAAACACTGGTCCTTGACAACACTCCCGTCCACCACCTTGCCTTGTTCTTTCTCGGCCAAGCACGCACAAGCCTTCAAGGTCGCGAGTAGAGTGACACGATCCGGAGCACAGCCTTCGTCTTTCATGCGAGCGTACATCTCCATAGCCAGCTCTCCATCCCCACTTTGAGCGTAACCCAGGATGATTGCGTTCCAAGCCACAACGTCGTGATGCTTCATGCGCTCAAACACCCGACGAGCGTCCACCATACTCCCACACTTCCAGTACATATCCACCAGCGAATTCTCCACGAACGGGCTCGAGTCGTCACCACTCTCGGCAGCTCGGAGATGCACAGCCTTCCCTCTCTCCAGGCAAACCGGCTTGAGCAACCTTCCATCGATCATCTTCCACTCTTCCTTCTCCGCCAAGCTCGAGCAAGCTTTGAGAGCCGCGAGGAGAGTGACGCGATTTGGAGCACAGCCTTCGCGTTGCATGCGTGAGTATAGATCCCACGCCATCTCTCCCTGACCACTTTGAGCGTAGCCGAGAATGAGAGCGCTCCATGACACCACTGTCCGGCTATGGATGCTCTCGAAAACTTGCCGGGCTTCGTCCAAGCTCCCACACTTCGCATACATGTCGACAAGAGTGTTGGGAATGAAGATGGTGGACGAGAAATCGCCACTGCTAGAAACGTACTCGTGGATTTTCTTCCCGGCTTCCAGATCCCTGCTGTTCGTGCAGACCTTGAGAGCAGCGAGAATGATCCCAATGCTTGGCCTCATCCCCTCCCTTTGCAATCTCTGGAATTTTGCCAGCGTCTCTCGATCAGCTCCATTTCTTTTCTTTGCGTTGGATTTTCTGGGAGGAAATGCGTTGCCTTCCACCGCGTTGCGAGGCCAGGAAGATTTCTCGCTGAGCTTGAGCGGCACCCAGCTTGGAATGGAGCGCGAATCGATCCACAGCCCCGCGCCCGTGCTGGAATGCTTGAAATCGGGGAAATTCGGGCAGCTCTGGAAGAATGCCACAGTGCCTGGTGGAAGTGAAGATCTTAGAGGGAAGCTATACCGCAGAGCGCGCACCTTTGTGGCTCGATTGTCCCTCCACATCCAAGGCTGCTCGAAGAGATTGCTCCACAGCTTCTCCTCCATCCTCGAGCCAGAGCTCTCTTTCTTCTTCTAGGTCAGTGTGAGAGAGAGAGGCTATATAAGTAGGGCTTTTAAAAAATTGGAGCCTTCTCCTTCCTCGAGAAAAATGTTTGTCTAGCATCAAGAGAAGAAGAGAAAGATCGAAGAAAAAAAAGCTATGCCGCTCGATCGAATAGCTTCTCCACCACTACGGAAAATGCCGCAAATCCGGCGCAGCCCACGCAAGCTGCCTTTGGTCCAGCTGAAGAACACAAGATAAATGGAACCTTCTTGAGCAAGAAGAAGAAAAAAACGAAGAAAAGGAGAAGAAAAGTTCTACCTTTCGCAGACAAGCTCCCACCGGTGACACAGCCAGCCACCATCGTGTTCGTCATGTCATGCCTCGCTCTGGCCTGGAAACACGAAGATTCGATCGTGAGAACTAATCTCTAGAGACTTTCCGAGAAATTTGGAGGATCCCAAGAACTCCGGAGAGCTCGCGATCATTCAAGAGCTCTCTCTGGCAAGAACTACGTGAAAGAGAGGATACCTTTTCTATGATACACTCGGTTCCAGAGTAAATGGCTCCCATCACCGCGAAAGCCTTGGCCATATGGAGGCTCTTGCTGCCCATTTGCTTCGCGGCGTGTGTGAAGTGTTGCCTCACGGTCATTTGATCGGGGTTGAGTGGATTGTCCAGCGCTCCAAACAGCAATCCCATGAAAATCCCCATGCCGCCCCCTGGAAAGAAAAGAAAACTCTGTCAAGAACTCCCTAGGCCTAGAACGAAGAAAAACGTTTGGAATTCCCATCGCCATTGGCGAAAGAGGAGAGAATCGAGGAGGAAACTCTTGACAAGAGGAGGAAAGAGGATTCCTCTCTTACCCATGACGCAGCTCACAATGCTCTTGACGGCGCAGTTGTTAAACACATCCTGCGCCTTCATCTCCTCGAATGTCGGTAGCTTGAGCGGCTCCACCGGCGGCGCCGGGGCGGAGGATCCATCCGAATCGGATGCCGGTGGCTCGGCAGACTGATCGACCATTGCCAAGAACCATTGGGAAAAAACTTTTTAGGGTTCTTCCATACTTGTAGCAAGAACCCTAAATCCTTTTGAAACGAGGGGGCGAAACGCACAGAATGGCTGCTGCTGTTGGAGCTTCCTTCGATCTCTTCAAGCTGCCGCTGCTGCGATCCAGCTCCCGTGGATCATCGCTCCGGGCAAGAACTGGTATGTGTTTTACGCGATCTGTACAGTGCGCGGCTTCGAATTCTCTCCATTCTGTTCCTCGGGTAAGGAAGAAGGTTTAAACTATCAAAATGTAGCTCATTTTCCTCTTGCAGCTCATCGAAAGTTTGCTGGAAAAGACCGATCTCACGTCCGAGCAGACCGAATCCGTCACGGACATGCTCCTGGAGGGGGCCGATGCTGCGCAAATCTCCGCGTTTTTGGTGCTCCTTCGAGCTAAAAACGAGACTTTCGAAGAGGTAGCTCTAACTTTTCTTAGAGGTTTTGCTTGGTTCTTTTGTTCTTTGTTTTTCTACTTGCTGCTACCTTGAACGATCTCGTTTCCAAATTCCTCACAGATTGCCGGCCTTGCTAAAGCAATGATTAAGCGCTCTATTGCAGTGCCTGGTCTCGCTGGTGGCCTAGACATTGTTGGTACCGGTGGGGATGGAGCAAACACCGTCAATATCTCGACTGGAGCTTGTATCCTTGCTGCTTCTTGCGGAGCCAAGGTTGCAAAGGTACGATAGTTCGGTTTTTACTTTCTGCGTGAAAGTTTACGTGTTTCCTGGCAGCATGGAAACCGCTCGAGTTCTTCAGCTTGCGGAAGCGCCGACGTTCTGGAAGCGCTCGGCGTGGAGATAAATCTCGGCCCTGAGGTACTCGCTCGAGTTCTTCTAGTATTGTTTTTTCACTCCCAAGTTCTATGAGAAGGGAATTGCCAGATGTGTCAAGGAAGCAGGTATTGCCTTTATGATGGCACCGAAGTTTCATCCAGCCATGAAAGTAGTTGGGCCTGTGAGGAAGTCCTTGAAGGTGAAAACCGTGTTCAATATCCTCGGCCCGCTGCTAAACCCCGCTCGAGTTCCGCACCAGATTGTTGGCGTCTACTCCAAAAGCCTTGTAAGTCTCGATTATATTTCACTGGAGAATTTTTCTTTTCCTGAGACGTGATGATCTCATCTCGAGGAATAGGTACCGAAGATGGCGAAGGCGCTCCAGCTACTTGGCACAAAGCACGCGTTGGTAGTGCACTCTGAGGGACTGGATGAAATGAGTCCTCTCGGTAAGTCAGTTTGCTTTTTCACACCATTTTTCCAACGTTTTTTCTTTTCGCGAGCAGGCCCTGGATTCATATTGGAAGTCACTCCCACATCTATCAAAGAGTTCAGCTTCGATCCATGTAAGATCGTTTTCTTCGTTGAATTCTCTGCTGATAGAGAAAATGGATGCAGTGGACTTTGGTTTCCCTCGTTGTACAGTAGAAGATTTGCGAGGTGGTGATGCAGCGTTCAACTCTAAGGTTCTGAGGGACGTGCTTGGTGGACAAGAGGGACACATCGCGAATGCTCTGGTAATCACCATCACCACATTGTAAAGACACTGAAGTGTGTTTTTCCTTTTGCTCAGATTCTCAATGCTGGAGCCGGCCTTGTTGCGTGTGGAGTGGCCGACGACTTGAAATCCGGCGTCGAAATGGCTCAAGCGGCCCAACAATCCGGCCAAGCACTCAAAGTTCTGGACTCGTGGATCCACTTGTCCCAGGTTCGTCTTTGACTTTCTGCAAACTCAAAAACGATATTGCCTTCGTTAAAGCAGGAATTGAAGATGCAAGAAGAAGCCGTGGCTGTTTCCTAGCAGAAGTACTCTAAATTTTTGGCCAAAATAAATCAAGCAAAAACCGCTCAGTATAACAAGTGGAGGATTGTCTATCAAAAATTATTTGGTGAACTTACAAAATTGAGAGGAGTTCCGGGGCAAGGCAATCAACAAAACACTTGTTTGTTTGTTATTTTCTCTCTCCCGTTCTCCTCACGCAGCCATCCCCTGCCGATCCTCCACTTGAACGTGCACTTGAAATCCCCCTTGCTCTTTCTCCTCCTTGTCCTTGGCTTGATCCTTGGCTTGATGCGTCTCATCCGTCGCGCCCTGCGCCTGTACCTCAACTTGCTCCTGCTCCGGAATCTGCACCTGAACCTGAACTTGCTCCTCCTCCGGAACCTGAACTTGAACCTGAACTTGCTCCTCCTCCGGGATCTGCACCTGAACCTGCACCTGAACTTGCTCCTGCTCCGGAATCTGCACCTGCACCTGCTCCTGCTCCTGCTGCAGATCCTCCTGCCGCTGCTCCTGCTTGTGCGGCTGCTCACCGCCCCGATCCGCCGAGTCGTCCAGCTTCTCCCCCGCCTGGAGAACCACCGAGTAGTAGCTCGATCCCTCCATGCACTTCATGAGGACCTGCGTGATGGAGCGGCAGCGCACCACCGTCTCCTCCGATTCCTTCTCCGCCTCCTGCACGCAATCCTCCCACTCCTGAAACTCCTTCCCACACGGCCCCGCCTTCATGAACAAACAAAATGGGCACTCGCCCTCCTCCTCTTGCCCCTCCTCTCCTTCCACCACCTTTCCTTGCTTCTCTTCGCCCCTCTCATCGCCCTCGCGCTCTCGCGCTCGCTCGTCTGCATTCTCCATCGCGAATAACCCTACAGCGAAAACCCTAAATCTCGCATATTTACAGGCATATTCGAGAGCCTTTAGCATATTCATGTGAATCGGCATAGTCACGGGCATATTGCGTTGGCGAGGAGCACGTAGTTCGCCGAGCGCGGTGTCGCGCTAATGGCGTCCACGCCGAGCTTTAGATTTCCCTTCGGCCTAGGCGCTGACAGAAAGCACGCCCACTCCAGCGAGTCTGGCACAAACGGCATGCTTGCGAGCAAATCTCTCGCGTTGTCGAGATGCCCAGCCTTGGCGAGGAGATCAATCACGCAGCAGTAGTGGCTCCTGCTGGGACTCAGGCCAAAGTCTTGGATCATCGAGTGGAAGTAGCTCCTGGCCTGGTAGACCTTGCCCTGGTGGCTGCAGATCATCAGCACCGGGAGGAACGTCACAGCCTCGGGACGCTCCAGAGTGTTTAGAGTGCTCATTGTGAAGAATGCGGTTTCTTTGATGTCAAGATTCGCGCTCCGGGCATAGGCCGCCAGCATGACATTCCATGTCGTGAGATTCCTCTGTGGCATCTTCTCAAATATACTTCTCGCGTTCTGTATCCGCCCGTTTTGAGCGTACGCCGACAGAAGTGCAGTCCACGAGGACACGTCCTGACTAGGCATGTCGTAAGAGATTCTTAAACACTCTTCAAAACGCCCGTTCTCGGCAAATGCAGAAAGAAGCTTTGTCCAAGACACAAGGTTCCACTCCGGCATAGTGTCAAACGTCCGTTTAGATTCCTCCACGTGGCCCCTCAGACCGTATGAGACAATCATGACCGTCCACGAGATTACGTTCGCCATGGGCATCTCGTCAAACACCTGCTTAACCAGCTCGATGTCTTGCCCACTCGTGGCAAATGCTGACAGAAGAGCGTTCCATGAGGCGAGATTTCTCTCTGGCATATTTTCAAACACGCGCTTCGCATCTTCCAATGAGCAGCTCTGCGCGCATGCTGCTAGCAAGGCCGTCCACGTATACAAGTTGTGTACGGGCATTTCATCAAAGAGTTGCTTTACTTTCGACAGATTCCCGGTCTGGGCATTTGCTGCAAGCATCGCAGTCCAAGACACCACGTCCCACTCGGGCATGTCGTTAAAAACACACGTAGCTTCTTCCACTCCACCTCTTTCCACAAGTGAGTTTAATATCGAATTCCAACTTACGACATTCCTCTGCGGCATTTGCTTTAGCATCTCTTTCGCATCAGCAAAATGCCCGTTGCGGGCAAATGCAGTTACCATAGCATTCCACGTTACAAGGTTTCTCTCGGGCATATTGTCAAACGCCTTCTTTGCCTGCTCGATTCGACCTTCTCTGGCGAGGAGCACGAACATTGCTGTTACTGACACAAGATTGTGGAGTGGCATCGATTGGAACAATCCCATTGATGCGTGGAATTCGCCAGCCTCGGCAAGCGCGCATAACATCATCGTCCACGAGACCACATTGGGGCTCGGCATCGCGGAGAAGAGGTATTGCGCGTCGCGGATCTGGCCATTTCTAGTGTAGGCAAATAGCATAAGATCCCACGAGAAGGTGTTCTTGGCGGCAATTCCATCGAAAACTTTGCGCGCTTGAGCTGCGTCCCCGCATCGCCCAAACATCTCGATGAGCTTGTTGTAGAGAAACACGCGATCGCGGTAAGGAATTCGATCCACGCGCGCGTAGATCTTCCTGGCCTCGCTCAAGCTCTCGCAGGACTGGATCAAGGCCAGGTCTCGCATTTACCGGTATCAAAATTATCAATGGCTTAAGTTGTCAAGATAAGATCTTACTCACGCCACATATGGGCAAATTCGCTCGGTTCTAGCGCGTTTGCCTCTACGTGAGCTTTTCTAGAGTTCCTGGCCTTGACTTTCATCTTATACTTGGCATCTTTTCGCTTGATGAGCGAACGAACCTGTGTAACACACCGAAAACACATCCACGATTAGCTGCGAGGAAAGAATTCGACACGAGATTTACCATGTTTGGAGCCGTGTAGAAGGGATTCTCGTACAGCGGCTTCCCACCCATGCTAGCACTGAAGATCTTGATGGGATTCAGACAAAACCTTGGCCCGACCTTGGATTTACACGCCAGATTCAATCACAGGTTACTTGAAAGTGGAAGACTTACCTCAATCAGAGTCATCTTCTCGGCAGACGCTCGGTCGAGCTTGTCGGAATCATGGTGTGGCACAGATATCTGAAAATGGAGTTTAGAAACAAAACCAACTATCGAGAAACAAAAATTACTTGGTAGTTTCGAAACCAGATATGCTTGTCTAGCACAGTGAATGACAGAACGTGATCAAAGAAAGGCTTGCTCTTCCTGTGGTCTTTAGGAGTACCAAAGATCTGCAAAAACACTAGTAGTAAACCAGGATCCGCAAAAAGAAAAGAGAAACGTTACTTGGATGAACATCTCCTTTATCAGCCTTAAGTGGGGCTGCTTGTCGAAACTCGATGAGAACGTCAGTATAGGACGAGATCCTTTCAAATGGTTGCCTGTAAGTTTTAGCTCCGCCATAGTGTGCACTGCAAAACATCGCTACGCATTTCAGACATAGAAGGGAAACAAAGCAAAATGTTACCCGCGTTCACTAAGAACTTGATAGATGGTCCGCCAGGAAACTTAGTCATCCACAGATACAAATCCTGTCTTTTCCTGCACTGAACTACGAGCCTTAGCTAAAACACTATGAAGAAAACCTCACCTCGAAGTACAAACAGCTCGTGCATCCTCGAAGCTCGGCAATCTCATTCAAAGTCCCATTTTTGTTATCCTTGGCTTGAAGCTTCACATCCTTCTTACTGTGCGGCATCAATCCAATCAGGTCCATCATGAGATGCCGATACCTGGAACGCAAAGATTGTAAAGCCACATTCGCAACGCATTTCCACTACTCTCACCGATAGATGATGCTCCGGGAGCAAACAACCAGCGTTTTCTCCTTGTTCCTGAATCCCGGCTGCTGTGGCTCCTGCGGATCCTTCAATCCTGTGAGCGTTCTCTTGGGCGCTGGCGCCTCCTCTGGAACCTGCGCAGCCTCATCTTCACCGGGATCAGGCGCTGCCTCGGCCGCCTTGGCCTTCCTCTTCTTCCCCTTACCCATAAGCCCGAAACCCTAAAGCACATAACAGAATATACCTTTAACAGGAACAGAGAATGACGATGACGGTATATGCGCTCATTGCTGAGAGGGCGCGGTAGGGTTCTCGAGGGATGGCGCTGCGCCTGGCTAGGCGCTGGGGAGATTTCTCGAGGTACACACAGTCTCTAGGGCGCTCCTTTGCAACTACAGTGTCTTCTGAAGACCCAGGGCTCGAAGTAGTCAACGAAGGCCCCGCCGTGATCAACTCGGGAGATGTGGGCAAGACCTGTGGGATTCCCAAGGAGCATATGCATCGCAAGGTATGATCTCGTAGAATGTAGCGATTTCGTGCACGGGAAACTCCTCTTTCTCCTTTCTTACTCCGGTCTTCTCTTAGGTTGTAATCTATTCTCCCGCTCGTAGCGCATCGCAGCAGGGAAGGACTACCATGGGAAAATGGAAGTTCAATTTTGAATCGACCGAGAAGTGAGTTCCATCCTTCGCTGTTTTCCTTGGTGTTGGTTTGGAAAAACTTGGTCTTTGTTTTTTTTTTTTTTCTTTCTTCGTTTCTTCTGTTCTTGCGGTTGATCTGGAAAAACTTGGTTTTTCTTTCAGGTATCAGGATCCACTCATGGGCTGGACGTCTACCTCGGACCCTCTAGCATACGTTGGAGACGCGGCACTTTCGTTCGATTCTAAAGAGTCTGCCATCGAATTTGCGGCAAAGCACGGGTGGGAGTATACGGTAAGTGTTTCAATCACTTCGCTACTGCGAGTTTTTGATCGATCGCTCGTGTTCATCTGCATTTTGCCCAGGTGCGAGAGCCCCATCAGCAAACTCTCAAAGTGAGATCACTCGTCTCGCTCTTGTTTCATTATTTCCTTCGGAGAAATTCCATTCACTAACACTTCGTTTGCTCGTTTCGTGGCAGCCCAAAGCTTACGCTGATAACTTCAAATGGAAAGGTGCGCCAGTCATGGCCGACGAGTAAAAACACGAATTCTTCCATTCAAATAACCCGAGTTCTTTCCCGCCACGTCATTCTCCGACGTGGCAGAAACAACTGTACATCCTGTGTGCGCGACGTGGCAGACGTGTCACACGCTTGTGAGCCGTCCGATTAGAGTGTTCTCGGTTGATCTAGGTCTTTCGAGCATGGCATCGGGCCTTCTCGGCTGCGCGGCGATTCCAAAGGCGGCGGTGGCGGCGGCTGGATCGTCCACCGCTTGCTGCGATGTCAAGCTAGCCTGCGCGCCGGGAAGTTCGTGCTCCACCAGGGTACATTATGGGAATTTTGCGAATGCTGCCACCGTTTTGAGTGGGAGGCATCGATCCGGGCGTTGCGCTGCTGCCGCTGCTGCTGTGGGGAGGGATTCTAGCCGTGCCGCCACTAGCGAGGCTCAAGAAACAGCAAACTCAGGTACTCTAGCAAATTCTAGCTCGCTAGAGCTTTCATTTCTTTCTATCACACTAGTATCACTGCTTCTACACACGGTGCTTCGAGATTGGCAATTTGGGACTAATCACTTGAAACTCTATAGCATACACTTTCCACTGTTCACTTAGCTCCATCTTCCATTTGCTACAGTCTTAGCTCTTCTTTGAGGAAACCTTTTCTTTAGCTATAGTATTCTTCTGTGAGATCGCTTGATAATACGTCACAAATGTTTGATCCAGCTTGTGCAGTGAACGATTCGACGTTCCAGAAGCTTGTTCTGGAGAGTGATATTCCAGTTTTGGTCGACTTTTGGGCTCCTTGGTGCGGTCCATGCCGCATGATAGCCCCACTTATCGACGAGCTCGCCAGGCAATACGCAGGAAAGCTGAGATGCCTCAAGCTCAACACAGATGAATGCCCAAACCTGGCCACCGAGTATGGAATTCGCAGCATTCCAACTGTGATTATCTTTGTGGGAGGTGAGAAGAAGGATACCGTGATTGGTGCTGTTCCAAAGTCGAGCTTGACGTCCATGATTGATAAATACCTCAGCTAAGGCTTTTTACACTCTTCCTTTGTTTCTTTGCTTCCTTCAAACAATTTAGAAGGTTTAGCTAACATATTCTGTATATACATGCTGACTTGGTGCATATACTGGTACTGCACCACCATTGCTCAGTTTTTGACCGTGATTTTCTTAAAAATTTATAGAAATACCATCCACAATAATCATGATTTCACCACTGCAAATAGTGTTATGACAAATGGTGGTAAAATCACAAATTAGTGATATCCCTATCCCACTTTTGTTGTTGGAGTAATCTTGAAATTGAGTCAGTCATTTTTCAGATTGCTATTACATTTTTTTACAGAAGGTGTGGACAAGGTGGCCGAGGAGCTCGCTCGCGTCGACAGGGTAGAAGGCTCGCTTCCACCGGCAGGAGCAATTGTAGGACTGCGAATGGTCGCGCCATGACTGCCGTATACGTGATCATCACCAATCATATCATGTGCAGCTATGAGCTCCTGCAAGGCAAAGAAAAAAGAGTTTGGACACCACTCTCTCATGAACTCACAGTACCTCGAACATCTGGAGGGCGCCAGGCAATACATTCGTCGACTTCCATTCGATCCTGACCAAGCTGCTGCTTAAGCTGTCGTGGATTTATCTCAACCTCGCTAAGCTAGCGCAATCCGATCCTCGTAATCAAAGTTGTCCAGGAGAAACAAGAAAAGCTTCTGGTGGCGGTGCCAGCTAGAGCTTGACAGTCTCGTCGCGCGCGAGCCAAACGAGGGATTGCTCGTTGCACCCGAGCTGAAGCAGCAGCCAGGAGTAGACTCGCTCCAGCAAGATCTTGGTCATGTCCAAGAGATCCAGTGAGTTAACTTAGGGTGTTCTGTCACGAGAGAAACGATCCATCACGCTCGCAGATCCTGGATAAAGTACTCTCCAAAGAAACGAGAGATCCAACTCTCCAAAACTTACGTGTTAGGCGTGCCAGTGTTTCCTCTTCCTGTCAGTCGTCGCAGCTGGAAAAGTCTAGAAGGATACCAGAACACTCACCTCGTCCAGACGTAGTTGCAGCATTGGAACTCGGACCAAAGTGGCAAATCCCATCCCCCGCTCTCGAAGCCTACAAGAAAGATCAGCATGGTGATGCTAGAAGAACGTACTCTACCCTAGCTTCTTGGCCATGATTGTGCCAAGGGCCTCGAGGAATTTGTAGTGCTCCGTCCACCTGTCGCGCAACTTTGTGATGGTATATGGCTTGCGGATCTTCCTGACGGCATTGCTCTCCTGCATTTGGCGCTGCTGCTGCGCGATCGAACCTGGAAATATCCCCTAATCGTGCAAAGAACTGACCAATCGTGCAGAGATTTGTTAAGAGAGTAAAGCACCGACCAAGCGGAGCATAGATTTCGAGAACGCACAGATTTCGGCTGAGAACGCAACGCCGGACAGCAAGAACAGAGATACATTTTCATAACAAGACTTCGAATTTTACTATAAATGGGCAAATTACCATAACATATCAGGTTATTCTGGTGTCCCAAAATGCCCAATTCTGGCACTAGTGTACCAGTCATCCTACTTTATATTGCTTTTATTTGTATAGTATTGCATATACCTTTTAATTAGTTAAGTGAACATTGTTAGCCAATAAGTATTCAATGAAGGACAAGTTTTTCTAACCAAATTTTTATGAGTATAAGAATAAATATATTAATTGGGGTTTAGACCCCTAATTATATACAAGAATGAATGGACCAAATTCAATCCAAATGGACAGTTTATATGCTTTAGTACTATAATTAGTGCATTACTTATATACGTACATGTATTTATAAACCTTATACCATCCTCCCCTCTAGAAAATGAAAAGGTGATGATAATAAGTTAGATGGAATATTTAAAGTTTCTGCTAGGCAATTATAAATTACCACAAAAAACTAAAACTTCCATAAAACCATCAACAAAGTTGCTAATAATCATGATTGAAATAAAACTCAAAACTATGGCATAAGCATCATAGAATCTTGGTGAATCAATTGCAACTCCGTATATAACTCCCAAATGCTCAAACCAACCACATAACTATAACTTTGAATCAAAGCAAGGGACTTTGAAAGTAGTCCATAAAATACCATTAATATAAGTTTGCCTATCAATAGGTTTTTAAGATCACCACTAACTCAAACTTAGGACCATAAATAGAACAACTATTGTCTTTGTTCAACACTACATATAAGAGGTCAGACTCATTTTATTTGTCTTCCATATCCTTCTTATCCCTTTTTGAAAGAAAAAAAGTTTTGAAGCATTAACTCCGTTCAAACTCATTGCATTTATCCTCACTCTGTTATCTATGTTTAACTTCACTTTATTATTGCATTTGTTCAGCTTTACTACATCGAGGTCGGATGTTCCATTCAAACTTGCTATACTCATCTTCACTCCACAATCCATATCATTCTTTCTCACTCCACTATTATATTCATTCATCCTCATTTCATTGTCGAGGCTAGACTCCCGTCTATCCCCTTTACCCCCTCCTTAAAAAAAAAAAGTTTGAAATGTTAGAGTAGAAAGGAGAAAACAAGAAAAAGTGAAGAAAAACAATTATGGAAGAAGAAAAAGTGGATAAAGAAGCATTAGAAAAGGAATTTGTAACAACTAACAATACAGAAATGGAGAAATCAAAAGAAAGGCATATGCTCAAAATTTGGAAAATAAAGAACTTTCTATCATAAAATACTTCGACCACCACATAAGCAAAAGATTCACATTGCTCAACCTCCTCAATACACAACTCGACATTTGAGATGGGAAAATTAATAATAACATTCACATGCTTAAAGGAATATATAAACTCCTTAACAACAATGATAAAGCAAAGGCTTTCAATGGCATTCACAAATAGGGATATGCATTCAACTTGAAACTTTAGCTAAAGTGATTTAACCCCTGGAATAGGGGAACTCAACAGTAGAACTAATCAAAGACTTTGCCAATGAAACAAAAGCAAGATTTTCAACTTCATGCACACTTTCAACATCCAAATTAGTATAAGAAGGACATAAAACACTCAACTCAACATTAAATTGAGAATGAGAATTACGAGAGTCACAAATGATTGATGTGCCAAGAGAAGAAAACATTGTAGATAAAGAAGAAATAAAAACATGATAGGGTGGCTCAAGTCGAGAATTAAAAAAAAAGTTGGGAAAGAAGAGGAAATAAAAAGAAAGGATCAAATGGTAGATTAAAGGTTTGACATCTATCGTGAAATCTCCACTTCATCTCTAAAGTTATTTCCATAATAATCAAGTTTATCAAAACAATTTAGAACCTATTCAAGCTCATATATATCATCTTCCCATAAACTCAATTCTTGAACATTCTCTAAAAACTGAATTACATCATCTATAACTTGCCAATTGATGTCACAATTATGCTTCACATCAACAAAAGATGGCAAAACACTGAGAATAAGACAAACTGTGTAATCACATCTCATAAAAGTTTGAGATGGCAACACCCCAAGAATGGGCAAAACACAAAATGATCACACTTTACAACACCAAAAGTTCAATCCAACAGAATAACATTAGTAGCCTCAAGTGATATATTGTTTGATCGATGATGGTGTGACGTGGTAGAAAAAGAGAATACAATGCAGATAAAAAGAAAGAGCAAATCTAAGCACAACAATAGCTATTCTAGATCTTGTAAAAAGTTAATATAGATCTAGATCTAAAAGAGAATAAAGAAATAAAAGCAACAAAACAAAAAACACAATCCCAAAAATTAGAGTAAAGCACTGCTAAAAAGCTTTGCTCTTCATGGACAAATTATAATGCCCTTCACTTCCATGAATATGAGTTCTCGGGATATAAAAATAGGTATATTAATTGGGGTTTAGACTCCTATTTATATACAAGAATAGATGGACTGAATTCAATTTCAAATATGCTTTAGTACTATAAATAGTGTATTAACTAGGTAGAAACCTTATAGTTATAATTAAATCAAATGATATTTTATTCAGTTTAAAGAAATATTTAAAATAATAATAAAAATAAAATAATTTATTTTAAAATGAAAAAAACAAAAAAATGCAATTAAACT